TAGAAGATGGACAAGACACTATACTATGCACGTGAGTAGAAACGTGACGAGAAAAGACTAAACAGCGGTTTGTTAAACGAGTCGCAGGATTAGAATCAACATCAGCAATAGCAGCAATAGCAGCAGCAACAACAACAATTTGTTAAAGGTGTCATAGGATTGATAGCAGCAGGGACGAAAGACCGAAAGTTCTGTGCAGGAATCATTAACTCCGCTAACACTTTTGGGGGCGAGTGGACGGTGGCTAGGTGTCCGGTGGCTAGGTGGCTTGGTGACAAGGATGGTGTAAAGAGAGATGTCAAGAGCGGTGTCAAGAGCGATGTCAAGAGATTTTTTAGTATGCAGAACTTATTCAATATACAATATCCATTTATTGACCAATAATATAGCAATATATTATCGGCAAGTGACCCGACTTTCCTAACATTCTTGGTGTCTTGGGGAGGGTGGCAAGGGAACAGCTTATTTCTTAAAGTACTCTTCAATTTATTATTACTAATTATAAGTAAATAAAATCAAAAAAACGGAAGAAGGCAAGCAACAATTGGAATTCATAATTGATCCATAGACTGATCGTGAATTGTATAATTATTAACGTAAAATCAATGTTAATAATGAAGCATTAACTTCCATTCCACAAGCAGTTAAAAAACCCCTACTATCAGCTCCTATTCATGATCTGTATGTATACTGGTAACATTCGTCAAATGTGATCTGTAAAGTAATGAATCCCAGTTGCTTGCGTAGAAGAAATATGTTGTTGATCTGTCGTCATTCTTTTGTAAGTTTGGGGGATTTATGATGAGTTAGAGTCATACGATTATCATAACTTCTACCCTGGATAAGGATTAATGACAGTAAATTATCGAATTATCATAAAAGGGATATTTCAAGTAGAGAGACAAGAAATAACAGCGTTCTTATCGAAGGTAAACTTACTTTCCTGGAGTTGTTGAAAATTTCAGGAAATGGAAACCTCAGGGACTCAAAATGTCTTCATGTTTGTAATATCGCTTCCTATGTGTGAGTATAAATTAGTGTGCATCATAAAAATGTCTGAGGTAATAGTTTAGCCATCACAAAATCTATAGAAAGAAGTTCAAGAACAGTAATGACTATATGACTGCAATAGAAGACAAAAGAATAATCGACAAAGTTAGAAGCATTATCTTAGCAATGGATAATAAATGTTTGGAGCTTGCCCTAGGTGTTTACGCATATCATGATTACCAACATATTCCGCAGGTAGGAATCAAGAGGATCGAAATAGATTATCTTTTCGAGGCTATTTAATTATGCCAACTTGTAAGGTATTGTAGCTTATTTTGAACGAGAAATTGATGGCTGAGACCGAAAGACCTTTTATATGCATCCAACTGTTGATGGATTCGCTCTTAAATGTAGTAGTAACATCATCATTAGTAAAGACGAATGCGTGTACTTTGAATTAATGTAAGATTTCCAGTTTGCCCAGATATAAACAGTGTTCGCTAGAAGGCAGAAGAAGTATAATATTTAATGGTTAAAAAAAATAATATATGTCCGATGCTTTACTTCAAAACTGATAAAGGTTTTCTAACTAATACATGTATTTCGATCTTTGTGGAACTAGATCTGAATTCTTTCTAAACAAATGTTGACAGACTGAGAAAAGTGAAAACTCCAACAGAAACAAAAATAGTTCCTTTTAGGTAGGTACAAGGTTCGCGATTGTCATTCATGTACACTAAAACTTCGAGAATCGTTATTATATTTTTTTTACAATTCTATCGAAGAAGATTCTAAAATGGTAATTAAACTGGAAAGAGTTGGCAATCTCGAGGGACATTTTCAATTTTCATCCGGAAAATCATTCACTGGCATTATTCTTAGTGAGGGTAGTAAATTTGAGTTGACTGAGGGATCCTCGAATCGACCTAGGATACCGTCCCCTTGTTAGAAATAATGCGTCTTCTATTTAGATGCGTAATAAGATTGTATTAAGGTCGAAGGCACCACAATAGAGTCCTGATATCCCTCTCAATTTTTGGCCCTATACCATACGAACACTATTGTATGTGTGTCAGTTTAAATTTTCAAAACAATGTATTTCCTTTTATGAGAATATTCGCTTTTATTGTGTGAAATTTTGAATTGATCATGATAATTGGATTTCGTATTCACAACAATTTTGATCAGAAAATAGTGACTCATGAATGTAATCAATAGTTTTCGAAGAACTAATACTTTAAATCAGGACTATGTTAAACTAGAACTAACTTCAAGTATAATGAAGTGTGCTTTGATTCTACTACTTTAATATGCTTATTTAACAAGGTCTCCATTCAGAAATCCATCTGTTCCTAGGTACGGCTAACTGACTCTTATTCCGGGGGACAAAGCACCCATTTCTTTTATCTACCAGAGTAAATTTTCCCTCCTTGAATACAACTTGGCCCTTAACGATTGTATATCTTGGCCAGTTACTTATTTCAAAACCTTCAAAAGGCGTATAATCACAGTTACTATGCAAATTCTCGACTTTTATTTGATCTTGAAACTTTCCTTGTGGGTACCAAATAACGATATCAGCGTCCGATACTCCTTCTATTAAAGTTCCCTTCTTGGGATACATCCCATACAATTTCGCTGGATTTATGCAGTTGAGCTCGACGAATTTTTCCCACGATAACCGTTCTCTAGAGACGCCATAGCTTGCTAGTAAACCTAGTCTTGTTTCAACTCCTGGACATCCATTGGGAATCCATTGAAATTCGCCATTATGCCCATTTTTGAATGCTATCTTTTTCCCGTCGTCTGTATAGTATTTCGTTGGACAATGGTCAGATGAAAATATTGTCACAGACCCATCTCCCAAAGCACTCCATATAGCTTCAAGGTCATCCTCATTTTGTCTAGGTGGTGGGGAGCATATGTATTTTGCTCCTTCGAATGGATCATGAGAGTGTAGCTTTTTCAAGTTGTCTGATGTAAGGAGTATATATTGAGGACATGTTTCTGCAAATATACGCAACCCCCTAGATTGAGCACTCTGGATAACTTTGATAGCTTCTGGTGCAGAAACATGTACAAATAATAGAGGCGTATCCAAAGTTTCTGCCATTACAATAGCACGATTTGTAGCCTCACCTTCAAAGATAGATGGCCGCGATATTGCATGATAATAGGGCTCCGTCTTTCCTTGCTCTTCAAGGGAATCTATCATCCATTGAACCATATCCCCATTTTCAGCATGTAACATGACAGTTATACCACACTTCCTGGCAACATTTAAAACAGTCATAAGGTCGTAATCTTTAAGCTGTAACTTGGAATATGTCATATATAGCTTGATACTGGTTACTTTTCCCTCCTTGGCCAAGAGAGTCAACTGCTTTTCGAGACTTTCTTTGTCAATTTTGAATACAATAAGATGTAAGGCGTAGTCACAATATAAATTTCTAGTGCAATTGTCTTTACACTTATTGATGGAGTTGAGCAATGCGGTTGCTCCCTCTTCGCGTGGATCTTGAGATGCAAAGGTAATAATTGTAGTAGTGCCACCCGCAACTGCACTTCTTGTGCCACTTTCGAAGTCATCACATATTTCTCCAAAAAGGTCTAAGGGCTCTCTCAAGTGAACATGAGCATCAATCCCTCCTGGAGTTACAATTGCACCCTCCGCATCTATGACATCTTTAAAAGAGAAGTCGCTCAAGTCACCAATCTTTATAATCTTACCATCCTTTATTCCCAAATCAGCTTTGAGGAGAGATTCTGTACACAAAATACCATTCTTGAAATTTGTTAGTCATTACGTTGTATAAACCTAATATTGTAAAAAGGACTTACTTTAACAATCAAATCAAATATCATGTCAGAATCGTCATATATTAAAGGATTTGTTTATAATCTCGATAAGAAAGCGCTTTTAGATCGATATCTACCTTAAGGTTGACTAAAATTGAGTAGTGAACAGCAATAAAAGATAGAACACGAGAAGGGACCTTTCAGTTTCTCGACCTAATCCATATACTCTTTGGCGGAGGAGAGAACTAATATATGTGTACCAGTAGAAGATAATACCGCTTGCCCTATCTCTAGTAGGCGAGCGCGATGAAAACTACAGACTTTGCCGATCTCCCGTAGATTTGCCCCGTGTTTCAAACCAATACATCTTAGCCGACACAGGTTCGCCTATCAGTATGATGTGAAAAGTTCGGCGCTTCTTGATGCCCATTGAGGGGCCAGCATTAAAAGGTGCTTATGAAGTTCAAAAGGAAATGCTTTGGCAGACAAAATTACTTAAATAATCTCAAAACTATACTTGCAGAGGGCGTTAGAAACGTTTTATGAATATGACAGAACGACAAAACTATACTAGTGAACTACCGCCATCTCAAAAAGCGTCCGTATATTATGAATATCAGGGAAATATATATTACAAAGATATACCAATTCCTACGCCTAAAGACGACGAGATTTTGGTTCAAATCAAATATTCAGGAATCTGTCGAACTGACTTGCATGTTTGGAATGGTGACTGGAAATCGAAATCGAAACTACCCATGATTGGAGGACACGAAGGTGTAGGAGTTGTAGCTGGCATCGGCTCGTCTGTATCGGGTTTTCAAATAGATGATGCAGTTGGGATAAAGTGGCAAAATAAATCTTGTTTATCTTGTCCTTATTGTGAAAGAGGACAGGAGAATAACTGTGAACAAGCAGTATTTACGGGCTGTCATACTGATGGCTGCTTTCAACAATATGCCATTACTAAAGCAATTTATGCTGCTAGATTTCCTAAAGGAACAGATCTCTCCCTTGCATCCCCGATATTATGTGCTGGAACAACTGTATATAAAGCCTTGAAGGTTGCGGATATTAAGGCCGGCGAATGGGTCGCCATTACTGGAGCTGCTGGAGGTTTAGGTACTTTAGCAATTCAGTATGCAGTTAGTATGGGTTATCGCGTATTAGCTATAGACTGTAGCGAAGAGAAGAGGGGCCTTGCTAAACATTTGGGAGCTGAAAAATACATCAACTTTCAAACTACACATAACATAATTGAAGAAGTTAAGACGATCACGGATGAGGGCCCAGCTGCCGTATTAGCCATAGCAGAGGGTGGATTAAATGAAGCTGTAGAATATGTCAGGCCATTTGGAACCGTTGTATTGATTGCTCAGCCGGCAACTGATACTTTGAAAACAAGCATATTCAGGCAAGTTTGCCGTTGTGTAACAATACGTGGCTCTTGCATCGGTAACAAGGCGGATACATCGGAAGCCATTGACTTTTATACTAGAGGGCTAGTAAAGCCATCTGTGACGTTCTGCAAGCTTTCAGAAGTCCCAAAAATTTTTCTGTTGATGCAAGAAGGGAAAGTGAAAGGGAGATATGTCATTGATTTGGGCCAATATTAAGCTTATATGATGTCAAATTGCTGTATATGTTATATAAACGATCATTTATTCGAAGATTATTTTATTCTCAATGTAGCCTAGGTCTTCTATTACACATTTAACAATATCATTGTTTTGTAGCCATCTGTGAGGTTTCATGCCCATTCCGGTACCTTCAGGCGTACCTGTAAAAATGATGTCGCCTGGATAAAGAGTTGTTCCTTGAGAAGTGAAAGATACCAAGCTCGCCACATTAAATAGCATATCTCCAGAATTACTCGATTGTCTAATTTCTGAATTAACTAAAGTTTGCAAAGATAGATTTATGTCTCCAGCTTCTCCAATTTTAATTAGATTCTTGTTAACTATGCACGGTCCTAGGGGAGCAAAAGAGTCAAACATTTTACCCACAGAAAACTGGGAACTTCTATTCTGCCAAGTTCTTTGTGATACATCGTTTCCAATAGTGAAACCTAAAACATAATCAAGAGATCGCTGTTGGATAACATTCTTGCACTCTTTACCAATAATTACGACAAGTTCGACCTCCCAGTCTACTTCCGCATCCTTAAGTTGAGCTACCTTAGGCACATATATTGGACTGTACGGACCGGTTATACAACCTTTAGGCTTGTAGAAGAGGGTTGGATAAGTCGGAGTGGCGGCATTACTCTCTATGATGTGCTTTTGATAATTAAGACCTATACATCTTACAGATGATATTTGCTCAAGCGATAATGGAGAAAGAAGTTCGAGTACTTCCTGCAGAAAGGTTAGTAATGAGCAAAAATCGATTTTAAACTCAAATTGAACATACTAATATCCTTTCAGTCACGACATACTTTCCAAAGACGTTACCCTCTATTAATCGTGCGTGACTTATTGTACCATTCTCGTATATGGCATCACCCTGCTCAATAGAACCACTTGTAGTGCGGAAACGAATCAATCGCTGTTCAAGTTAGATCATATTTTCCCTTCTTGCCTACTTTCTCTTGGTTTTACTTACTTTGAAGCTCATGTCAATCTTCGTCCAGTTTCATTAAAAAAAAAAATTGCATTTCAACTCTCTTTAAAATAGTCTATAATCTTAGTTTCAATACATACGGCTCAGAGTTTAACGTGGAGTGCTCAAAATACGTCGGTAAAGGTTCTGATCGGCGAAGACTCTGATCGGCAAAATTTCTGATCGGAGAACTCTGATCGGCAAAGACTTAAAAGTTCTCACTAAAAGCGGTAAACTACTGATCGGCAAAGCCGATTTCTACTTATCTCTCTCGAAACTAGTATTTGTTGGTGCACGACTGTTCGTATTTCGCTCCCCGATCTTCATGGAATGGAACACCTTTTTTTTTTTTCATTTTACAGATCGGTTAACAGCTATCAAATTAACGTCGTAATTATCTATCTGTGCTCAGCTCTTTAAAATTGATCCAAAACTTGATTTTATTCAAGAACATTGTTTGTATCGTACTACAGCACAGCTACAATTTGGGTCGCGAAGAAGTCATCAATTGAACTATGAGCAAACTTGGTAATATGGTGCGTGATTTCTACAAAAATGGATATGGAGAGAAAGACACTTCTATTCAAGTCATTACCAGTGAAGATGAAATGCTGGAACCTGTCTCCCATGAAGACGAAATGCGCGATGTAACAATATTTACAAAAATCATCAAATTTATTAAGGTTTCACGTGATACAAATGAATTGAAGGGCGTTGAAAGGATTTTATATACCTATGATTTACGCCCTGTTGAAGCCGCAAGAAGGAAGTGGGATTGGTTCAACTTTGTGTATTTTTGGATGTCGGAATCTTTCAATATAGGTGTCTGGCAGGTAGCGGGGACAGCGGTGGAGGCTGGCCTTAGTTGGTGGGAAACTTGGATTTCCGTTTGGCTTGGTTATTCAATAGTTGCATTTTATCTTTCTTTGCAGCAAAGGGTTGGTAGCTACTATCATATAGGATTCCCAGTTTCTTGTCGGGCATCGTTTGGGATATTTGGATCGCTATGGCCTGTATTAAACAGGACGGTAATGGCTTGTTTGTGGTATGGCGTAGAAGCGTGGAGGGGAGGTCAGTGTGTTCAAATAATGCTAAAGGCTGTTTTCGGAGCAGATTTAGATACCAGAATTAAAGACACCATGTCATCGCCTAACGTCTCTACTTTTACATTTGTCGCATTTTTCATATTCTGGATATTCTCGTTACCTTTCATTTGGTTTCCGCCACATCAAATTAGACATTTGTTTACATTTAAAGCCATGGTGTGTCCTATAGCGAGCGTCCTTTTTTTGATTTGGGCTATAATTCGTTCTGGTGGAATCGGTCCTGTAGTTTATCAAAAGAATTACTTACATGGTTCTGAGCATGCTTGGGTATTTATAAAGGGAACCCTCGCTGCGATGGGAAATTTAGGTACACTAATTGTTAATTCTCCTGATTTTTCTCGCATGGCGAAAAACAGGAACTCTGCTTTATGGTCGCAGATATTTGCGATTCCACTTTGTTTCAGTATCACTTCATTGATTGGCATATTGGTATCTTCAGCTTCTACTATATTATATCATAAAACTTTTTGGTCACCATTAGATGTTTTGGACAAATTCTGCGATACAAACGATAAAGCTGCAAAAGTTGGCGCCTTTTTTATATCTTCTAGTTTCATGATTGGCCAATTAGGCGTTAATATTTGTGCGAATAGTTTATCTGCAGGGAGTGACATGACTGCCTTGTTTCCTTACTTTATTAATATAAGAAGAGGGGGTTATGTTTGCGCAGCTATTGGGATCGCTATATGCCCTTGGAACTTGATGTCGTCTTCAAACAATTTCACTACTTATATGTCTTCTTACTCGGTCTTTTTGTCGGCTATTGCAGGAACTATCTCAGCAGATTATTTCTTTGCAAGAAGAGGGTATTTGAACATATGGAACTTATACTCGTACAAGAAAGGTGAAGATTACCATTATAATTTCGGTATCAACTGGCGTGCTGCTGTTTCATATGTCTGTGGTGTGGCTATCAATTTTGTTGGCTTTTTAGGCTCTTGTGGTGTTAAAGTTCCAATTGCAGCGACGCACGTCTATTACTTAAACTTTATCGTTGGGTACTCCGTATCTTTTGTGGTTTATTGTGTATTGGCTATATTTTTTCCTCTTCCAGGGGTACCTGCTTTTGAAATGAAGAGTAGAACTTGGTTAGAGCAATACCTTGATGTTGACGATTTTGAGTTAGAATTTCTTAGTGGAAAGCGAAGCGCAAAATTGGAGTGAGCAACTACCTTACGTCAGTCGAACTACTTGCCTTCCAAAGGAAAAGTAAAACAAGTGGACCAAGTGTTTATTCACAAAAAATTCAATTCAAAAATCAAAAAATGAATGAAAATGTTTTACAATTAAGCTGACCAAGTACTTCACCAAGGGTATTCTCTGATTGATTTTCACGAAAGATCTCAAATTCTATTCGAGTATGACTTTTTTAGGAGAGGGAATGACATTCTTGGAGACTCTCTTTGTCAATGAGATGTATGAACTTTTCTGTGTGTAATAGTTAATTTCCGTCAAATTTCAATCTGCTGGCTTTGCTTGTGTGCTTGTGGCTTTAAATTATATAGAGCTAATGAATTTTAAACATGTTTTTTGTAAGACGTGTCAGTTCGCCTTCATAAGTTTTACTTCATGAGTCTTGCTCTTTGAATACCCTGAAGTAATATGTATGAGTTTGAAATATTGAGCCCGATGCTCAAAGGGGATCAAGTATGCCTAAGGAGATACTGTTATCCATTACTCATATATACTACTGTTTAGTATCATGTTTATTTATTCTATATGAAAGCGACGCTAAGTTTTCAAGTACTAATAGATTCAGCACTTTTGGCACACTAGCCCTTAAATTAAAATTTTATTGGACTGGATGTGAACTCTTCTTGCATTTTTGTTGTATAAAAGTTTTGGGAGTTTTTAATGACACCCTGAATAAATTTTCCTTCTTCTCCTGCGATATCTTCAACTTCCTAATTCATTTAAGAGGAAAACAATTTAACATAGGAGGCACATTAATTCTTCTAGAGTTTTTAAGACAGCAGTTTAAATTGAATAACAGTATGGCTCCTAGAATATGCCTTGAAGAAACGTGCAAGAGTAGTAAGAGAATGCTCTTTTTTTTTTGACCATTTTTGGACCAAAAATTGTCCCCTATTGTCATAAATGCCTTATTGGTTATGTGAAAGCCTTAAAAGTAGGCAGAAAACTTCACGAAGGCTATTGTAGAATACTTAGAAAGATATAAACATAAAAGAGGCTACCTTTCGAAAGTCCGTGACTCTGTGTATTACAATTTAAACGACTCGAATCTAATATAAATATGTCTCTGGGGAGGTCGATTTAAAGGATAACATCTAAACATCAATTGTTCCCGGAGGTCGCTAGGTGCCATGAGTGGCTGAGCATTACTTGAGTGCAAGCAAACTATCCAAAAGCTTGGGTACGATAAAGTCCCTAAATCTGGCCAAATTGCTAGTGAGACATATAAACTGATGAATGTTAAGACTTTGGCAAGCCTTTTTCACTATCAGCTTCGTAGATGGCATTTTTGTTCAAAAATATCACTATAGAAATAGAACGACGTAACAGTTCAAATATCTACTCTAATATCGAGAATAACATTACAGTATCAAACAGCATCATAAGTAACCAGCATAATATTAATCAATTATTGATCTGAATTATCTCTTTTAATTAAATTTTGTGTTATCTTCATTAAAGAATTTGAACCAACCTTGGTTTTCTTTTTCTTAACTTAGCTCGGACAAAAGAAGCTTATCCTTGAGGTTTGGTATAAGACTGCACATTGTACTCTGAGCCTTTGAGCATACACTATATTATAGATATAAGTCCTCCCTTATTCGTTGCATCAAATAAAGTTTAAATGGAATCCAAGGAAAGACCATATAGGTCAAGGAAGTTTAGACCATGTGATTCTTGTAGAAAACGGAAATCATGTTGTATAATTGTTGGTGGGCCACCATGCAAAACTTGTCAAATAAGGTGTAATCCTTGTACGTTTACTGAATCAGCCTTAAGGCATAAATCTAGAGCAAAGACAAATACTGATAAAGCTGGTGAGAATAGCAATGGTACCAAAGTTAATAAATTAACTATACAGTCTCCTGATAATGACAAGAAAGGAAGAAAGTTAGCGGCCGAGCTCTTGGTTGGTAGCAAGGCGAATACTATTTCTTCAAAAATATCACTTCCGTTGGAACATGGGATTAATTTTAACCTTTCGACATCTACACATTTATGGGACTACTTATTTTCTGACCTTGAACAAGGTTCAATTAAAAGCACTATTCCTGCTGCTAATGAATCCGATTTTTCTTGCAGGGACTTTAAGGCTAAAGTATCCTCTTTCGATTTCGAAGATTTAACGGAAAAAGAGATAAGACTTTATAACAAAGGGACATTAGAAGGAAATGAATCCATTCGGTCTCAATATATTTTTGAAAATTCTTGCTTTGACCCATATGTTTATTCTATTTTCGACCATGACTCCGAAGGAGAGTTTGTGAACCTAAACATGCGTACTAGACAGATGGATCAAAGCTCAAACCTTGGTCACTTCATGATCATTAAAGAATATACCGGTGCATCACTGAATACGTTAAAATATAAAGAAGAGGTATTTTCATTAGTGGGCGACTCTGGTCCTAGGATGTTGCTTCTATTTTTCAAATATGTAAATCCCTTCTTACCAGTTTTTTCCAGAAGTCGTTTTTATAGAACACTTCAAAATTTTAAGATGTTTCACACAAGCCTTCTTTCAAGTATGTTGAATTCAGCGGTTGACTTGTGGAGTTTTGATGTTATTTTGAATAATCGCCATCCACCTAATAGAGAGAAACTTTTTGCAATAGCCTGTAATTCCATTGTTGAAGAGCTCCATGAACCAAACTATGCGTGCCTTCAAGGAGCTATACTTCTTTCTCAGAAGATTTCCCTCAATGTTTCAGACTTGAATCATTCTTTTAATTGGGGAATGATTGGTTTGGCTTATTCTGTGGCACAAAGTTTGGGTATCAATGTTAATTGCCTTGATTGGAATTTGCCGAGATGGGAAATAAGGCTTAGAAGAAGATTGTGGTGGTCTTTATATATTCAAGACGTGTGGTTTGCAGTTTCTTATGGCCGGCGTCCCCACTTTAGGAAAGATGATTGGGATGTTCCAATAGTCAGAGCTTCAGATTTTGTCTCATACTCCGCAAATGAAGTTGATGAAGAAAGTCATGATCGTAGTGTACGGGCATTTTGCTTGTTGGCTAATCTCTCTGTTATTATTAACGACATAGCCGAGGACTGTTTTGGCTTAAGAAATTCGAGATCTGATACTGTGGACTGTCAGCGGAAGGTCCAAACCTTCTTGAAGAAAATCGAAAACTTAGAACTGCTTTATATTGACATCTTGGAAATCGATCAAAAGCAATTCTCGTGGCAAACAACGGGAACAGCTTCGATAGCGATTGCTTTTTTAACATCAAAGGTAATTCTCTTAAAATTGCTATTACATGACAAACATCATGATGTTCTAAATAAAGAACATGATCTTAATTTTTACTTTGAGAATGGTATTGATAAAAGTGTAACAAGCAGGGCCATCAATTTAGCATCAGATATTGTGACTTTCATAGAGAAGCTTCGGCCAGTTCATTTGGCATGTTTCTGGTACTCCTGGTCGCGACTAAATTTTGCTACAATCTCAAATTTTTTTCTTTTATTGTACAGTGCAGTAAAAGATGAAGAACTAGACACAATAAAGCATCTTCTAGACTCCTATAGGTGGATTTTAAGGCATAGAGCACCAGTAGTTGATATAATGGCATTGGGATTATCAGTTTTAGACTCAGCTTATTCTATGGGGCTACATCATCTCCGCAAGAGCAAATAAAAACATCACAATATAGATAAACATTGATACTGTTCAGATTTTGAATAACGTTAAATCACTTTTTAATTCTTCTGCTCCGCTGGGAGTAGAAGTTAAAACTGTTCTTATCTTGTCACAGATGGATAAGTCGGTGAAAGAAATACCGTGGTACCCTTCAAGATACTATATGCCATATTAATTGAGTATTGAAATTAGCTGATTACACATTCATAAGGTTTCAGGCTTACTTGATTGAAATTGCCTTTAATAAAGATGAGCAGATTGGTGTACAAAGTCACAGAAGGATCCGGTATACAGTTTTGCGGTGTATTCATGCCTACAAAAGGTTTTGCATGGCTAAATTTGGATTTGAAATCAATTTATGATAAAGCTTAGGATTACCAGATAACTTTATCATGCCAGATATTGGCTCAAATATCGGGGATGATCATCTTCAATAATATTTTTAGCAAAAAAACTCAATTAATGCTTGTAATGAAGAAATCATCGCTGACTTCCCTCCTCAATATTTCGTCAACCTGTCATGTACAAAAGAAGTCAAGTCTTTACGGAAGGTGATCCTGGTGCTACATCATTTGGAGATATCTTTCAGCTAAAGCTGAGTTTTTGTTGATGAGGATGGCATCTAGTCGATGTCTCAAAATTCATGGCAAAACATATAAAGCAGAGTAGCAGGACTAACTAAACATTAAATATGTGGTTCACTTCGACGACTTTTACTGTTGTGTTGTTGATTTCATCTATAATTATGTAAAAAGAGGCATTTTAAATGAACTGACTTCAGTCGAGGAAAATATCGAGGATGTTGACTTTGATGTAGTCCCTGGTAATACATATTGTCGTATAATCTACGAAGCCCCCAAATTTTATCGTGTTCTGGGATCCATACTTGCCAGTACTGTTTTTATTAAATTGTATAATTATCTAGACGTGGCTTTCGAAAATTTTCCAGAGAAATAAGACTATCACGATATGTCTGTGAATGAACTTAAAATTAACAAAATTATCGCTAAGTCCCAATTGGTCCAAGCTTTCCAAAATGTTAAATTATGGATGAAGGAGAACTCTTTGAATTCGTAATGAGGGTCTCTTCGTTTAGAATTGTTTATTCAAGAGTAAATATATACTTCATAGTTCACTGATAGTCTCATAGGCGGACCACTTCTCAATACCCTGAATTTGAAAAAAAAAAGGCATCTTATCATTATCTTTCAAACAGTCACATTACGCTTCCGTAACTGAAATAGTCACCACGCAAATTCATCTCTTCATATAGAAACATCAAAGTTATAAATCACATTAATTCTTTATAGTTTTTCATATAGGCATCTAGTCGATATCATGTAAATTTCTTGAATAAGAAGAAACCATGTTTGTGAGATTTTCATTTATCTCCTAACCTTTTGAAGTAACCCCATCCCTCGTAAAGCTTGTACTTTGAGACTTCTCGCTTATTTTGTCAAAGATAATTGCATCCCCTCGATTACCATGTTCCTCTTCTTGGTTACCGTGGGAATAGACTCTAAAGATGTCATCTAAAACTTTAAAATCAAATTTTTTATCTTCTTCACTGCAAGGGTAAATCGATAGCCCAAAGTCTATCAACGAAACTTTACCTGTAACTGAAACATGAATAATAGCAGCTCTGACGTCATCATGGCAAATTCCCAAAAGATGAATCTCCTCGAGTCTCAATTTGATTGTTTCATGTACCTTATTGTACTCCCATTTGGACATAGGTAATTCTTCTCCTAGATCTTCAAATATATGCATTGGTTGACTAGGAACCCCATTCAAATACCCAGATATAATGAGTTTTGGAAAGTGTGATGCAAATTGAGACTTTGCGAGTATTTTATTAATCTCAAGTTCATTGACGAACATGTCATAATAGCTATCTTTCTCTGAGTTCTCAAATGCCAGCTCGGGATAGTTGTACAATTTAACAAACACATCAGTGGGAAGTATCGATCCTAGACCTGGATAGCATTTACTTGCATGATAGACTATACCACAGTGTGTGCAATCCTCAATTCCTGTACATAGTTCAAGTCATTTGGGAGATATCATCTCAAAGTTAATAGTGCATGCGAATAGGATCCTAACCATCTTAGGAGGCTCTGCAATCCCTCTCATCTTTCCTATCATAAAATAATGAGTTACTGTGAAGTACTCTCGTCAAGTCGGTTAAATTATAGAAGATGCAAATATCTAAAATTTAGAGGAAGTAGAAGTGGATCCGATAACCCAGAGATAACAATTACATGTACATACAGGACGGAGACTTTCACAAGACATAATTGGTTAAACTACCAGCCATTTACTTCAAAAGGTTCTTGGTTGAAGCGGTTGATGATAATGGACTTTTAGTTGCAAAAATTTTAACCCACGTATCGCTAATAGAGATCAAGACGGATCCGAATATACAGGTAAAGAAATACGAGAAGTATGCGATGAATTATATCTTGCAAAAAAACGCTTCTGTAAAATTATGTCGAGGGGCCCAGAATTTAATAGCAGTTATATTCGCTCGAAAAGGGATCAAGTCATGATTACAGAAGAATGGTATGTTGCAAAAGGGCACTTTAACTTATTCAGATATATTGAGAGCGTCCCATTACCATAAGATTGGGAGACATACTACAAGGTTAAAAAAGCAATTGGATACAATACACAGGAATGGTGTCATACACAGAGACATTAAAGAGGACAATATTCGCTACACATCAATTTCGTTATTTAGCCTATCTAACTACAGATATAAAACGAACTTATCAATAGACTTAACTTACCATTGAGCCAAAAGATAAAATTGACAGAAAACAATTAAAATTAATTCAAGTCTATAAATTTTTGAAAGTATAAAAGATAATGAATACCCCTAAAGCCATAAGGTGAGAAACTAACGGGCTTCTTGGCACCCTGATTTCTAGATCATTTGAGAAACAATTTTCAGGGGCCGCGCCAAAAACGAGAGAAAATTGAACTGAGTTGTGATAATATTGAGACTGAGAGTAGTAGAGAAAGACAATGGCTCAAATTAATCTTGGCAGTACAAATATATATAGAGGTTTCTTGAGCCCAGATAGAAATGCTGTAAACACAATGTTATAAGAAGCACTCAGTACTTTAATATTATGACACACTCTGATGCTTGTCAAACAGGTAATCTGTATAGTGAAGGGGATCTTGGCGGCCGTATTTCAGCAGTTTTCGTTATTCTTCTCGTATCAGCCTTGGGATCTTTCTTTCCCTTAATCGCGAAAACCTGTCCATATATTAGATTGCCGGCCTTCTGCTTCTTCATTACAAAGTACTTCGGATCGGGAGTTATTGTTGCAACTGGGTACATTCATTTATTGGCCGAAGCTGGAAATTCCTTGACTAACGAATGCCTTGGAGGTGTATTTGAAGAATATCCATGGGCCGAAGGCATCGCTCTTATGGGAACCTTTGCGATGTTTTACTTTGATATCTATGCTCATAGACAGATTGACAAAAAAATTGAACGTAAAACAAACCAAAAAGTTTTGAATTCGCACGAATGTGTGAGTTGTTTTGAAATCGAAGAATCAAAAGAAGAAGAGAAAGAGATTCTGGAAGTTGAAGAAAAAGATATGTCCACGAACAACATCTATTTGCAGATGCTCAATTCCTTTGTTCTTGAATTTGGAATTGTGTTTCACTCAGTTTTTGTTGGTCTATCTCTTGCAATTGCTAGTGAGAGTGAGTTCAAATCCCTCTACATAGCAATTGCATTTCATCAAATGTTTGAGGGCCTTGGACTAGGGTCCCGATTTGCATCTACAGATTGGCCCGAGAGTAAGAAATTGACACCTTGGCTTTTATCGCTAGCTTACAGTTTAGTAACTCCAATTGCGATAGGAATTGGAATAGGAGTGCGAAGCTTATATTCACCTGGCCCTCGAATGGCTCTCATAACTACTGGGGTTTTTGATGCTCTATGTGGTGGTGTATTGATATACAATAGTTTGGTTGAATTGTTGGCACACGACTTTTTGTATATCTCAGAGTTTCAGGGTAAAGACGGAAGCAGAAAAGTACTACTTGGATTACTTTCATTAAGTCTTGGAGCCCTAGCAATGGCCCTTATTGGCAAATGGGCATAACTTATAGAAATATGAAAAACACTACGATTTGTCATCAACGAATTCGAAGAAAGAGACATCTTAGACTAGAAGACTTTTTTTCTTTTAATTCTAGTTCGAAATAAAAGAAAAGAACTGTCTCAAGAATGATAACACTTACCAAAGAAAAGCGATATTGGGACCTTACTAAGTATTTTCGTATCACATTTCCAAAATTCTTTGATTAAAGAAGTTAGATCGCTTCGGCTGGTAAGAGAATGTAAGGTACTTTGATTTCAATAACACAACACTAATCATCCATTGTCTGCGGCTTTTGACAGCCGTAAAAAGCTTCAAGTAACTAGATTAAGGTACTGCCTATAGCATTAAATAAAGGAGCAGTGTCTATGACAAGAGACTGGGAGTAAATGGATCTATTGTCAATATTATATTTTAAATATTGGCGAAGAAAATAGGACTGTAAGAATAGATATCAAGAATGCAATAAGGGTTCAATATCGATTATTAATTCAGTACCTAGAGTCACGGATGACAATATTAGCTTTAATTGAATGCCAAAGGATGTATAAAATTGAGGAGAGAATCTATAACCATGCGCTGATAGAATAAAATAATGAATGGTGACCCTATATTGAAGAGATTTAAGTAGCACGTTCCATTTCTTATCCTTTCTTTTTTAATCTTTAATGGACTAGGGAGTAAATAAACCATTTTTGAGAATTATTAGGCCCCTTAAATATATTAGTTAATGTCAATTTGAATATCCTTCATGAAACAGCTTTCATCCAGGAATGGAGGCGAAAGGATTTTAACACAACCGAAGTTAAACAGACATAATAGAACTGCTGATGATGAGAATGATAATCTGCAATACATTTAGATGAATTTAACGAAACCTAAAGCACCATTCAAAAGGGATAGAATGCTAAAAGATTATTAGAATAGTTCACAGGAACCAAATAAACAAAGATATTCATTATTCATCAGTGTTACCAGATTTCAAACCAACGGTAGAGATAAAATGGCTCTAAGAAGGATTTGAAGATGAATCAATAACGAGCTTTACAGTAGAACTTAACTTGGCATTTCTTGAATGTTGGTTGTGTAACACTTAGATTCTTAAGCGACCAAATTTTCAGCACATGCTTCTAGTGATGAGCCACACATCGAATAGCAAGGGGCTAGACAGATTAGATTACGAAATAAATCGAGGACAACTAAGTGCGAAGATACGAACAAGTTAAAGAGAAGCTGCAGGAGTCTATAGTGATCAAATTGGGTAAATCAAAAATGTATTCAGCGGAAGATTCCTTGAATCAGATTCATTTCATTTGTTTGAAGACGAAATGATCAGAGGTCACAAGATACGCCTATTTCAGTTGTGGATATTGAAGGGATAAGATTGAAAACAAAGTTGGAAATGAAAGATGAGTTCTCTGGAGTTTCTCTTTAAGCTGAAAATAATGCACGCACTAAACATGACTAGGAATCTGTAAATTTTATAATGAATAATACTGACCTTTCTGCTTGAAAAGGTAAGATAAGGCAATATTTTTAGAGTTTCCAACTTCCAAACATCCTCTATGTCTCTCATTACACTTGTCCGAACTGGTAAATAATATTCCTGAAAATAATGGAGTAGTCTACATTCTAATCGGAAAGGTGCATTTGGACTCTCGTTGATTTAAAACCATCTGACTTGCTCAAAGTTGTGATCGGTTTGAGTCAATGAACTTGTATGTTACGTTTAGAGCCTTTCTGGTACTATTACGACATACAACCTGTCTTCTTCTTTGTTCTCATTATCTCCGATATAGCAGGATAAAAGCGAAAATGAGGACATATGGATAACTCCATTGAGTAAGCAAACAACATTATTGATCAGGTTTCAATATTAAAACTGATAGTAAGCTACAGCTCTGTACTATTAGTCAAGTAAACTACGTCTAACACAATACGAATTTCGTAACTCGCCTACGTGAAACTCTCTGCTAGTGATCAATATGAAGTTTAAGTAAGGAAAAGTTAATTGATGATTACGTAAAAAGCGTAATATGATCTAAAGTTGGCAACCAAGAAGAATAGAAGAAGTGAGAGGAAAGCACTACTCCAGAAGAACTCCAAATCAAAAACCATGATTGGGATTGTAACTTGAATGAAACAGTTCCCAAGTACCTGTTATACCACGCTGTGCAACGATGTATTGACGGTTAGTTAAAGTCGTACAATCATCATAATTATTACACTGGATGGGGATTAATGTACAAGAAGTATTTCAAATAGAGAAAGGAGAAGTGACAACGTTTCTTGTCGAAATGGAGAAACATATCTGAGCTTTGTTGGCGACATCGAGAAATAGAAACTTCGGCTGCTCAAAATCATATTCAGGATCCTAATATCGCTTCCTATGTGTAAGTATGAGTTTTAGTAGATTAGCAACTCATTACAAAGTAATAGCCCAGCCAGTATCAATATTTGCAGCAAGAAGTTTCCTATGTTCAAATATAAAAACAGCTACATGACTGAAATAAAAGGCAAGGAAATAATCAACTCAAAAATATTATTTTAGCAATGTGTGCAACAAATGTTTGGAGTCTATAGTAGGGGTTTTGCTTCCAATAAAAACAGATCTAGTTGTCAAAATCGCATTCAAGAGGGACGGTGTAAATTGACTTTTTTAGGATACTTAGTTATAACAACATTTTCATTGCAAGAGGCTACTTTAGATCCAATGTTGGGTGTTGAAACTGAACAACCATCTTCATGGAACCCAACATCAATGGAATTACTCTTAAATATCAAACTGACATTGTCATAAGTAAATACGAATTTGTCTATTGTGTAATCGAGGTGAAGAAATTTCCTATATTGCCCAGCTATAAAGAGAGATCGCTAGAAGGTATAGGAAGCATAATCTTCAACGATAAAAAAAATTAATAGTTTCATGAAGCAGCTTTTTTGCCAGATGCTTTTCTTCAAATTGATAAAGCCATTTTAACTAATTCATATGTATAAATCTTCGTGGAACTGCATCTATCTTCCGAGAAAGTTTCGACAACTTGAGAAGAATGAAAACTCCATCAGAACCGAATATAGTTCCTATAAAAGAAAATACTGTAGCCTAATAGTTCTGTATATTGCTCGTGACTTGTTTTCATTTTAACATATTTTGCAATCCCATCCTTTCACAATGCTAATAAGTTTCTCTTAGGTTCCGACCTCATATTCGAGATCTAGTGGCAACTAGTTATTCGATTTCTCAAAACAGCTAATTAAATTGTACTCCGTTTTAGTACTTGGTCCAACATTTGCAGGGCATCAACCCATTTTCTCGGAAGGTGATTGTTTCCTCTTTTTTTTTAATTAAGAAGGGTCCCTTTGTCGGTAAATAGATGTGCGGCTAAGTGTCTCGAACTTTTATGATGTGGCATAATCGTTTTGCTCGCAATAGACCTTCGGTTCTTTAGGAATGGGGTATGATATATTTGTCTTGTGGTGGTTGTCCATCGGAAAGCAGTATCTTTACATAAATAAGAGGAGCCTGCACATCTGCAAGTCGAGCAGGGATGTATATGAATAGTATAGTATTGTTTCTCAAAGTGTAGGTTTTATACGAATCACAATCGCGTACAAACTTTTACATGCTTCATCTTGCCATCCAGTGAGAGTTAGTCACGTGTACGATTTCAATATAAGATCCTTCCTTTTGCCAATATTCATGTATATAAAAAGCTCTTTCGTGTCCGAATTCGTTAAACCGTGAACTTGATTTAACAAATAAGTCTGAGCTATTAATTATGAATTCAGTGTCTCGATTTTGGTATATTCAATCTTTCGACTGGAGAAGTATACCAAAACTCAATACCAACAATCAAACTGAACTTTTCCTCAAATTGTGAGCAATGCAAATGCTTCTTGAGGAGTATATCGAATTGGCTAATACAATATTATTATTCAGTATTTAAATTATGCCACTAGATTCGCTGTACATCTCCTTGGGTCGATGTACCATTACTTTTTATGAATTTTTGAAGTAATCTTTTTGCGAGGCTCTATTTCGTACTTCAGGAATTCAACTTGATTTCCATGACAGCCAGACAAGACTAATGATTCAAAAATTATTGGCAATGGATGTCTCTAAAGGTATTGTTTACTTTTTAGTAACCATGTGTTTATTAAATATGGCCTATTTTGCCCTCTTTGACAATTCGTTTCTAATATTATGAGGAATGGCAATTGTCGCGAGACTCACCTTCTAAGATTACTGTTTTTTACTTTGAAAAATTTAAGCAGCAAACTGGACTAGAATAGTTTGCTGTGATCAAGGTTTAGCATTATTTATACAGTAAATATAGAGGTACTTATGGTAAATATCAGAAAAATTTTGGAGAATCTCGTGGGTTGATTTGTCTGTATTTTTCAGTGTTCAATGGCATGCAAATTTGAAATTTATTTGATAAGATCTGGGCGCAATCAGCCTACCAATATTATAAAAATAATAAAATGAGCTCTGTACTTGAAAAGAGAAAAGATTGCTTAATTGAAACATATTCTCTGTTTACGTGTAGCTTACTGCCATTTCGAGATCAACTACAAATATATCCAGTAGTTCTAACTCTGAACCCTTAAGATCTACCAATACGGTGTCACTGAGTATGCGCGCAATTATTTTGCCAACTTTACCACGGATAAAGATTTTCTTTTTTACTTTTCACACGCTTCCTGTCACAAGCAGGATAAGCCCCTACAGAATTTATTGACAATTGTCATACCTATTACCGACTGCAGTGAAACAAAGCACACTGAGAAAATTATATTTAGCAAATACCCACATTTATTCCATGGTGTGAAGTTTGGATTAATTAAAGAAGCCTGGGAAATTAAAAAATTGTTCTTTTGACCAACATCATAGAAGATTAGAAAAGCGTATGTAAGTCTCTTCAAACATTTAAGAGCCTGGTGTTATCACGAAGCCCAAGCCTTTTATCGTCATCTAAATAATCAAAGGAGCCTCAACAATGGTGAAATCAACTCCAAGATTTACTCACTATATCAAGATACTATTGGCTATCACATTCACTATGTATTGTATTGCATAAATTGTAATTGGATAACTGATTTTTTTACTATCTTATAATTTCTACGATAAAAGATAAAAAGAACTTTACTTGATTGTTCTGAATCGTTCAAAAAAAAGAAAATTACTTATATTATAGAGAACTAAGTTGTTACTAGTTCTTTTCTTCCAAGTTAAAAGAATGAATACTTCAGTGATAGAATTCAGATAGTAATGACAAATATCGTAGTACGGCACGATCAAGCCAATGGTCCCCCACACAGAAGATTAGTTAATGAATAAGTCCAACTTGACTCCATGTGAATATTCTTTGGCCAATAGATTGATAGCTTTTTTGAAAATGGATCATTTATAATATAAAAAGATGAGTGATGAAAGATTACAGAAACGAAGTCGTTTTAGATTCTTAATATGTGACAAATACGCCACCAATTAATAAGAGAATCATAAGAATGCTCTATTCAGAGAGGAATTAGGAATTCATACTTAGTCGCTTAGCATCACAAAGAATGGTACTTCATTGGGGCGTATACCTGTCTGCTACATGTCTTTGGCAATAGACTATTAGCGTTATTGGGTAAGAACAAGTTCTTCTAAATGAAACTTTTTTTTTTTGATTCATAGTTACATTGGCCTCTTCGCCATTTTTGGCCGAGGCTATCTAGCCGCTTGTATCCTTTCTAAGTCTTTGTATCTACCAACATCACGATACCGAACAAAAAGCCTGATCACATTCGATGTAGCTTACGATAAAGTTCATCAATGCAAATATTTCGAATCTTCATTCAAAAGCGACAGCAAGAGGGGGGGAGTGAGCGTAATGTCGCTTGAATGTTTCATCATGTTAAGGGAGTTGATTTCGTGATCATAATCAGTGGTCGCATATGAAAGTATCGGATATCGGTATAGTTTGGTGTGCAATTACCACATTTCGGGTTTCGCGATAGTTTCGGGTTTGATAAGGAAGTCTTATCTTAGTTTTCTGCAGCTTTGCACAAGGATTGACAAGTCATCAAAGGACTGAATGTGCTATAAAAACACGAGAAGACAAATTCAACCAGAGAGGACCTAACAACTGAGTAAAAGGAAAAATTTCGTAAGAATCAGTATGAAGAGAATGTTAGTAAGAATGAAAGAGCATAGGATTATGAAAGAAATGACGCCAATTCTTTTTCTTATTGGAATTGTCTCATCTTTAGGTGCAGCCAGCGCCGGATATGATAGTGGCTGGTGGAGTACCTTTATGACCAACCAATCGGCCCTTAAAGATTATGGCTCTAAAAATCCAGCTACAGGAATGTATTACATGAATAGTAAATATCAATCAGCAGGTACCGGTTTAGGAAATGCAGGTATTATGCTTGGGGCACTATTATTCGCCCCGGTTGGTGAGATTTTTGGCAGAAAAATGTCTATCATAGCTTCGTCTATTGTATCAATTATTGGTGCCATAATTTCTTGCTCATCCAGTAACTCTTTCTGGTGTATGGTAATGGGGCGTTTTATCAACTCATTTGGAATAGGAATTGCTAATGCTATTGTTCCTATATACTTAAGTGAGACAGCTCCAGCGTCGATAAGAGGAACGCTAACAAGCTTTTACCAATGGTTTTACACATTTGGCCAATTCTGGGCATTTTTTGTGATTTATTTCACTTATGATTATAAGTCCAAATGGTCCTATATGACGGTGATTGTTGTCCAGGTCGTCATACCAGCAATGATGTTGATATTAACACCATTTTTGGTGGAAAGTCCACGTTGGTTGATCTCGAAAGGTAAAACTGATAGAGCTAAAATTTCATTATCAAAAATATATGGAAGAATGACTAATCACAATATAGATCAAGAAATCTCAGAAGTTAAAATGGCTCACGAGCTTTTAGTGAAACATAGAAAAGATTGTAAGTATGTCGATTTGTTCAAGGGTGTGAATTTGCGTCGAACGTTACTAGCAATTGCTGTCCCCTGCTTTTTATATGGCCAAGGTGTGTCTTTTATGTCCTCTTATTTGGTTCTATTCCTCGTGACTCTTGGTGTTGGAGAAGTTCAAATGATTATGTTGATTATTATGGCAGTGCTCTTGGTCACCAATACCTTTTCATTTTGGGGTACAGATAAGTTTGGACGTCGCCCAGTATTGCTAATCCCAGCCCTTGCAATGGGTATATCTTTCTATATTGTTGCAGGAGCTTCCTACTATGTCGACACGTCTGCATCAAGGAATACTGCTGTGGCGTTTCTCTTTATTTGGTCAATAATTTATGGAGCAACGTGGGCTCCCTTGACACACATTACTGCTGCTGAGATTCCAAGCTCTCAGCTTAGGGAAAAAACCCTTTCAGTGGCCACATTTTTAAGTTTTGGAATAAGTATGATGATTTCTTTTGTCAATCCCTTTATTCAAAATGAGGGTTATGGTAATTTACAGGGTCGAGTGGGTTTCATGTATGGATCTATATCCTTCATTGCTTGTGGTTTTATTTACTTCTTTTTACCGGAAGTTAAGGGCTTATCTTTGGATGTTGTTGATACTCTTTTTGAGCTCAATACTCGAACCTCGAAGTTTTATGAAGAGGGTAAGAAGTTGATGAAAGAGGGAAAATACTTGCAAATAGATACCGTCTTGTCAAATGCAACTTCTAGGGAAGAAGCCAAAGAAGAGATTAAAACATTGAAGTCTAACATTAATATAACGATTGAGAAGAAGTAGTACTGTATAGGATTACAACACTTTGATATATGAAATACTGACTATGTAGCGAGAAAGAATTGTTTACGGATACGTAGTATTATCAACTTCCTTTATATAGCGGTAGAGAAACTAAAGATTCAAGGCCCTCGTGGCGTATATACTTGACATATATATCATACATTCTATAACCCTCTACAAGACTTATCCCAAGACCAAGAAGGCGAATCTGCTTGAAAATTTATCAAATACATTGTATTTTATTTGCAAGTAATCATCTATGTATCTATATGTAACGACCCAATAGTTCTTTCTCAATCGTATTAACAGAACTTCGAATGCAATCTACAATAATATCTATATCCAGCTCAGTCGTGATGAACATAGGTGCGATCAAAATATGATCACCAGTAATTCCGTCTATTGTTCCGGCACCGGGGTAGACAGCGACTCCATTTTTCCATATCGATTGCTGAATTCGTAAGCCTATCCCCAAAGAAGCAGGAAACGGCTCTTTAGATGTCTTATTCCTGACAAATTCAATTGCCCAAAAAAGTCCACGACCCCTTATATCTCCGACAATATCAGAATCCTTTAATTTAGACTTTAAAGCTTTCAGCAAATAGTCTCCGTTGTTACGTACAGCTTCCAACAATTTGTTCTTCTTCACATATTTCTGTACAGCCAAACCCGCACGGCACGCTAAAGGAAATGCTTGATATGTGTGGCCATTATTAAAAGAACCTGAACCTTCTTGGATAACTTTCAAAACCTTGTGATTGAAAATACAGGCAGAAAGAGGCGAGAACCCACTTGACAAGGCTTTACCGCAAGTGACAATATCAGGGACAACTGACTCTTGTTCCCAAGCAAAGAACGTTCCCGTTCTACCTGATCCACACATAATTTCATCTAATATCAACAAAACGTCATACTTGTCACAGATATTTCTTATTGCCTTGAAATATCCAGCTGGAGGAACTACGCACCCCGCTGTGGCACCTACAATGGTTTCAGCATAAAATGCTGCGACCTTTTGAGGACCTATTTCAAGTATTTTGTCTTCTAGTTCGTTTGCCAACCGATTCACATAATCTTGAGTTGATTCTTCCTCAGCCTTGAACCTGTATTCATTAGCTGCACTGACTTTATGCATATGAGGACTTAGTACTTCTAGGTAAGGTTTAGAGCGACAAACGTGACCACTCAACGAAAGCCCGCCGAGACAGTTACCATGATACGATTGATATCGTGATATAAATTCAGTCTTAGATGTTAAACCTTGTTCGTAATAATACTGAATAGCCATCTTGATAGCGGCCTCCGTGGCCTCGCTGCCAGAGTTAGCTATATAGGCCCTAGCGAATATGTCTTCGTAGCCGCTCAATAAGTTATTTGCAAACTCCTCCGCAGCTGTGGTTGTATATTCTAAGGAATGGACATATGTAACTGTTTGCAATTGATCTGTAAGCTCTTGAATTATAGTCGGATTGGAATGCCCCACTGAAGTAACCGCTGCTCCCCCACATCCATCTAGTATCCTCCTGTCAGAGAGATACAAATATTGTCCTTCTGCCCTCTCAACTAATTGTGGAGCGAGATTGAAATTTCTATGTAGAAGGCCAGAATTAATTATATCTTCTGAATTCATGCTTTATCTGTAAATAGCTATTGACTTAGGAACTTAAGTTCCTAGTGAAGCCATCATCACATTTATAGTGTATCTGTTAGTGGGCACCAATTCATTCGCATTAGGACCGCATTCCGATTTGTTCGCATTTGAATTTTCATCCCGATCCCGAAGTTTACGTTCGCGGGTTATATTTTCTTGAAGATGGTATGATCGGTCTTTACTTTCAAATGATCAGTATATAAACGATAAGATCTTTTTTATGAACACCATGTAGATATAACCGAAACTTAATTGAGAAATGGCTCGAGACATAAAATTCAACTACGGAACCACAAAAGATGTTATCGAGGTTTCAAACCTAGGTACCGTGACTGGTATAAAGTTCCCAGAATTATGCGTGACACAGTTTCTAGGTGTTCCATTTGCTGAAATCCCAGGAAGATTTCGTAAGTCTATACTACTTGATACCTGGGCCAACAAAAGCTGTGATGCTACGAATTTCGGACCCTATTGTCACCAAGTTGAACGTTCGTTTTATCCCATTCCCCTGTATGAACGTCCTTGGTCTAAGATACCTATTAAGTCTGAACACGACGTTCTCAATCTAAATATTACATGTCCTTGTAACGTCAATGAGGAGGTGAACTTACCTGTGATGGTATTTATTCATGGTGGTGCTAACACTTATGCCGCCGGCAGCGCTAGTATGTATGATGGTCTTCATTTGGCCAAGCTTTCTCAAGATTTGAAGCAGCCAACTATAATTGTGACTATCAATTATCGAGTAGGAGCTGCTGGCTTCTTGGCTTCTCATGACTTGAAAAAATACAATGAAAAGTTTGGTGAATCTGGTGTAGGAAATTATGGTGTATGGGACCAGATTAATGCGTTACGCTGGATTAACAAGTACATTCATTCTTTTGGAGGTGATGCCAATAGGATAACAGTATTTGGGCAATCAGCCGGTAGCCAGGCCACTCACATGGCGATATTGAGGGATGAGAAATTATTCAGTAGAGCAATACTTCAAAGTGGGTTGTCCCCCCTTTGTGGAATATTTTCGATTGATCAATATGATAGAGTTTATTTCAAATTGCTAGAAAAGTTAGGAATCGATACGACATTGACCCCAGAGAAGAGGGTAGAAGCGTTACTAGGTGTGGATGGTGCTGAGTTAGCACAGGCTAATGAAGATATTTTTGATATTCAGGTTGTCACAATGGCATATACAGACGATAGAGAAGTGTTACCAAATAATGCAAAAATCCCGTCATGGTCGAACCTCGATAAGCCCATTTCATCTTCTATCGAAGCTGTAATGATTGGTGATTGTAAGAATGAATGCATCATATGGAATGATGCATATAAATCGTATTCCGCTGAAGAGTTTATCCAAATCCTAAAGTCGAAATGCTCTACTGATGATATTGCTGCAACATTTATTGACCTCTACAAGATACATCCTGGATTAACTAAAAGTGAAACTTTCAATAGAATTGAAATGTTTACGAGTGATGGAATGTATCTTTTGCCCAATTATATTTTCTGTCTTGCAAATGGTAATGCTTTTCGCTATCACTTTGATGAACCATCAACTTATAACAATGAGTGGTGTGGGTATGCTCATCATTCTTTGGATAATGTTTATATCTGGGGTATGTTGAAGGACTCTTTAGAAGGTCCTCAGCGTGTCTTATCAGAGCACATGTCCAGAGTTTGGTTGGATTTTGCGAATGGCAAAACTGTCTGGGAAAGTTATAAGGAGAATGGTAAGTCGATGGTGTTTGGCCCTGAAGGAAAGTGTGGTCTTGTCAGTGATTTTGACGACGATAAGAGAAATTCTCGATATCCTATTTGGAGAAAAATTGTAGAATTAGATCTAGTGCAGGAATTTGGAAGAGTTTGTGAAGATATTTGTCTTTTAAGAAGTAAGGATCATGGATATATATGAGCGTATATTACAATTGACACAGTTATTATATATCTAATAAAATATATTATCTTTACTTCTAGATATACGTATAGTCCAAAATTTTAATTCGTTTAATATCTTGTATTATAAACAATATATTTGTTACTTGACTTGAAGGTAATCTAAAGCTGAAAATGGAGATTTCACAAACTTTAAAGTTTCTCTAAGAAGAGCTGAATTACTCCTTCAAATCATGAATAAGCCTTAATAAATACTCTTGCGTAACCAGTTCATTTCCTATCATGAAATTATGTAGCCGTGGGGAAGGAAACATGAAATCATTGTGGTTTTGAGACCTGCCCTCCTCATTAGATCTGGTTGAATCGTGACTGCATGACATAATACGGTCGTTATTGTGCACCGCATTAGAATTAAGTTCTATACCAGAACAATCATATTGAGCCTGTCCCTTATCGAAGTGAAGCAGGGCTTCAGAGTTCTCTTCGATAAGTTTCCGTTCTGCTCCTAAATTAACAATTTGGATCGAGTCTTCCAATTCTCTAAAAGTAAATTTGCCTAATTTTAATTCGCTAGCTCTTTTTCTGTCGTCAGCAACCAATGTATATAAATCTACCAACTGCCTTGCGATACTATACCAATAGGAAGTGATATCCAGCGTGTCTTGCATTGATTTCAAGCACTCAAGTAATTTTACAGCCGACGTAGTCAAGGAGTTAATTCCCAGATAGCTGTCATGTTGAGGGTCCATCCAATGAAATGTCGAACCATAGATAGCCGTTGCACAAGCAGAAAAGACGCAAAATAGCAAAATTGGGGACACAATAGTAGTTACATTTCTCGCTTGGTCATATTCTGAAGCTTCAATCAATATCGATGAAAGTGTTCTTGTGCTAGAAAATAATTCAATAGCAGAAGTGATCCAAAAGTCCTTGCTGGGTGGCAGTGGCAAAAGTGGCTCTTCAGTTGGACCGACTGGATAGTCATTCGAATGCGGAAGAAAAGGGGTATACTCCCGATGAATATAAATGAGGCAAAGATTAAAAATCGAATTAATCATAATAAAGGAAACGTCTGTGTTAAAAGCACGATGTGCTTTCAAGTTATCTGAAGACCATCTCCATCGAGTAGGTAGGCAGTGATACCACTCTTTTAATTTAGCTTTACTTTGTGCGAAAAATGAACTAGGTTCCCAGGGAGGTATAAGAAATTTTGTTCTACCTCCCTGAAGAATGAAATCTGAAATGTCTCCCCAAAGCTCAAAAATTCTTACTAAATAACTGGGACTTCTATTTTGTGACGGAAGACCTTTGATTTGTAAATAATTGCCAAGGGTTATTATATTAAGATGCACCGATTCAACTGCGAACTCTGTCATGTAGATGAAATCCGTATCATCACACGGTAACATTATGCGCTCGAATTCCTGATGCACAAATGCTGAACATCTATTTCTCCCGGAAGCAAGAACACGATCTAGCATGAAACAAGACCAATATGTTCTTACCAACTTTTCCCGATATAAAAGTGATGTTTTATTGGCTTGATTTTCTGAGGAACTATCAATAGCACTAATAGGACACTTTACGACATGCGAAAATTCTTGTAGAATTCTACTCGCCATACCATGAAGCATCCAACTGCTATAATAGCGACACCGAGACCAGTCATATAAAGATAGCATCAATAGGCACTGAACCTTTTCAATGGTAGGATCACGTAACATCAGCTGAGGTCGGATTAGATTTTGTATAGCATAATTGTAGCAATAGTCTTCCTTCACCATTTCAGAGCTTGGATCGATCCAAGTCTCAAGTGAATGCGGCGCAAAGAAACAAATGACTGCCATGATGGAATTTCTCAAACAAGGATCAAGATACTCTTCATAAATTAGAGACGTAGGATGTATGAACATAAACTCTGGAAAGAGCCGATGTAATGCTTCAAGAGCCGATACTGTAACAGAAAAAGGGGCTTGTCTCAAAGGATCCTTCAAATCATTTAACCCACGAATTTTTGAATTTTGAATGTTGCGACTAAATAAACCTTTACTATTATGAGAAGGAAGTGCGTAGTAACTTGACCTTGGGCCCATCTGTTTCTTAAATCGGTCTCTCTTCTTCAGCAAGCCTTGATTTACGAAAAGATCCTCATTTTGCGTGAGTCCATGTGAAGTAATGTCGGCTTCAGTATCTTCAGGGTCATCTGATGTAACAGAGGCTGTCATAAATGGCCCGTCATTTGTATCAAAAGAATTATACTTCAGGAGGTTATCAGAAAGACGGCGCAAATTGAGCGAAGTCTTGGCTTTCAATTTTTTTTGCTCTTCGATATGGTACGATGGTCTATCAAGCTCCTCTGGCCTTCTCTTGATTTCGTTCCGAGAATCCTTCTTTTTTTGAGGAAACTCTAGAATACACCGACTAGCATTCCCGTTCGATGCGCAAGATTTACATGGAGGAGTACCTTCATGATTACATTTAACTTTTCTTGATCTGCAAATGTTAGTAATTTATATTACTATTTTCTTATTATTGAAGTATTAGTGACGAAACGTACCGGCAAAAATGACATGCCCAATGAAGAGTTAGTTAAGCTGACAGGATAAGTCGAAAATCAATACGTACCTTTACAACTTTCATTTGAAACTAATATATACGTAATTTTCCCAACGTAATACGTCTTAAAATAGTCTATGTCTAAAAAATCTCTCTTGAATAAGGATCCTTGCACTTCTTTACTAATTAGGATTGAATCCGATTTCATAGATATATACAGGTATTTTTACACAACAAGAAGAACGGAAGTTTCTTCCAAGCTTTACCCAAATATTACGTAATTATTACATAATGCAAGGAATACAAAAAAAAAACTGAACTATGCAAGGTCGCTTTTCTAACTCACTACACTTGTTCAGGTCTTTCCTTCCATGAAAGAAGTTGTTAATGGGCACCTGTATTCTGTAACGTAACTTCAATAAGAAAGTAAGGTCGCGTGATATATATGATGATAACTAATATAAATATTACACCAAGACGAGCCTATATCTTATCCAACAAAAACACTCTATAATTTGAAGCAGGACCGCTTATAGAACATTTGAGTAGACATTCTGTGGAAGTTGATAAATATAATGGAAAATTTATCATTTCTACATATTTGGATCATAGTCACATACAAGTTCGTTGCGCAACAGTAATTCTTTGCCTGTTTTTATTACTCGCTCTGTAATTACATCAAAATCTCATCTTGAGGATCAATTAGTGAAGTCTAAAGTCTTACTATTGATTTCATATCTATCTTGGACATTGATTCGAAAATCTGATGAGCCATCGGTGGTGAAGGCATAATTCCTAAGATTATATTATATCATGTTATAGATGTCTATTCTGTTCGAATCCTGTCTGGCTGGTACCAGAATACTTACCTACTATATGCATGCATACATGCTTACAATTTGAATTGATGATCGTAAAACGGGAACAACTTAATTTAAGATTAGGTAAAGGATACGACAAAGAAAACACGATATGAAAAAGAAAAAAAAAATAGCCCGGGGCCAGCGGGCCGAGTTGTTGATAAATTCCTCTCTTCATGGGTGATACTTCAAACTGCATTCTCGTATTTAAATCAAGGCACCGTGAGCCCTAGTTTATCATTGAAACTGCCTGACAACATGTACTTACAAACCAAGCATGGACTCTCTTGTGGCAGATTACTCGACCAGGGACAATTAATTAAAGCTATTGATATGGTAATAATACCACAAGTTAGTTAGGCCTCTCGATCAAGAAATAAAGATAAGTCAAGATGAAAATCCGATAGCGAGTAATTCCTTTTAATGAGGAGAACATTGGCTAACCAAAAGTTATAACTAGTTTCGAACTTTGTAATAGTTGCGCTTTAGCAACCGCATAGAAGGTTAAAATAACCGGTCATAGGGATGAGGCTACGATGGTTTCTTTAGATAATTATTTCGTTCCTGGTGAAGCTACAAACAGAAAGAGTTCAGGAAAGTTACTTATGTTTACTTCAGCTTTTGTCTATTGTATGCCTTATGAATTCTATATGATGGATGACATGTACTCTTGTGAAACGTCCCTTAACTCAATGGTATGGCACTCGAAAATCTAGCTAATGTGATTTTTAAATATCTTTTCTGTAAAAGCCACCTCTACTCTAATTCTGGAGTGCACTGTTTTGTACCCTGCTATACAAATGTATAATACTGTTTTTTTAACGAAAAGGACTCTCTTGAGAATATCTGAGTCCTCGCCAACACCTGCAATGGCGAAATTACTGATTAATGGAATAAAACTGAAGGCAATGTCTTGCCTCCTTTTCTTTGATTCTCCGGCAAAGGCATTGAAATAATTATGAGCTGTACTATTGCTTTCAGTGTTTACATTGTTCGATCGGGAATGAAAAGTATTATTCTTAGTCTTCGTTATCTTATTTTCTTTCTGTGTTCGCATTTAACATGCCAAATGGCTCATTAGCGAATCTTGGTAATATTATTCCCAATTCATATTTCGGTTCTAAATGTCTGATATGTATGTGCGAAGTCAAGCTGTGGAAATTACTGAATTTGTGTTCTTGCTACCACCCTTAGTCTTGAGTCTCATCGTATGGCGACACCCTTACAGCCATAATATAACGGTTGTTAGATATTACATAATGTATCTGTATCTTGATACTTTCAATTCTATTTTATCAGACTTTGCATCTAGCACTACTGGTTATACAATAAAGACTATAGCAGATACCGTCTCTCTAATTGGTTATTGTGCGAGTAACATTGTTGGTTCTCACGTTTCTATAGCTGCCGAAATACCACCATACACAAACGGTATGATATATTCTGGAACTCTAATACTCAATATATGTGCTTATCATTGCTTGCTTCAATTGGCGGCTCTCTTCTAAGAAAAAAAATAACAAGAGAGAGAAAAATGAATGCAGATGCCTTTGCAGACCTTGATGGTTTGAGTCTGCTAATAGAAGAGGCTCCTCTTTTCTGATTTCGCCTTTGAATTGAAGTTGAACTGTTTTCGATTATGATATGTTCATTATATTTAATCTATTTTATAGTATAGCTCTTATGTTGTATTTATCACCATTATTTATTGCTCAGATTGCACTATGTTGCAATTGGATTCTTTTGACATAGTTCTGCTTGGCCAGGAAAGGCAGGGAGATTAGCGAACTCTTATGACATCTACCTTCGAGCAGGAAAAAATTTCATCCTTAATGTCGCAGACCAGTACTTTGCAGAACATTCTAAATTGTTATTTGAGAGTTAGTTTGTATATTTTATAAAGCTCAAAGGAGCACCAAAAATGAGAACAAACCCCCTTAGTCTGAAAAGAGAGAATCTTGACAGAACTTCGTTCTTGTCACCCCAATGTGGACCTATCGCTTCATTTAATAATTTGAGTTCAGTTTAATTCTTCCCACTTATTGGCCCCTCTTTCTTGAACTCACGTATTGGGTAAAATACAAGAGAGCGAACATATTATAGCCTTGGTACGCATTCTATGATAAATACTTCAAATGCTTCTAAGTACCACCTTGACACGATTCATCGATGACCTCGAAATCTTGAGCTATAAAAGAGGTGATAAATTTCGACATGTTTACGGACGTATTCCTGAGCGGGTTGTAGCATCATTAGCCGCTCCTTGCTTATTTATCGTGTCATTCTCCGTGGTAACAGCTTATAGCATTTTTCAAATCATAATCACTTCTCGTCTGCAAAGATTTAGAAAAGCTGAAAAGAATGTCTTGTGGACAATGCTACCTTTCATTATAGGTGGGTTATTTGAAGTCATTGGTTATATTGGAAGAGCAACATCACATTCAAACGTTACTTCTCTATCGCCATATATTATACAATCAGTTCTTTTATTAGTGGCACCAGTGCTATTTGCAGCATCAATATATATGTCTCTTGGTAGATTAATTGCTTGCTTGGACTGTGCGGAGCACTCAATAATCCCAATAGAATATTTGTATTTGGTGATGTTGTGTCTTTTCTTATGCAATCTAATGGTGGCGGTATAATGGCTAAACCAGGAACCGAAAATTCAAGGCTATGTTCAAGATTCTTGGAGGTCTATTCCACTCTTGAGTTATACTCGGGTATACCAAGACAAATGATCTGGCCGCTACTTTTAGTTGGTAATTATACTAAGTTTGAGGAAAATCGAAAGCAGATTATTACATACCTTGAAAGATTATACTCATTGTGTGGTGTTGGAAATATAAACCTCGTTAAATCAATACCTGAAGAATGTTGGACTTCAAATACAAATTTTGAGGCAATTTTGAAAGGCAAAAATTGGTACGAAAGTGAAATTGATTTCTTGGCTATTTAGCATAGCCATACTAAATTCAACGCTTTATTGCCGTAACTTAAATTCACGAAGCTATGCTATCTACTAAAATATTTGATTAAGCTGATATGCTCAACCAATGTAAGTAATTTGCTTTCTAATGATATACTATGATCATGTTCCTATTAACTATGTGCTTTTACATAAACAACTTTCAAGTCATTTTCAAGACGGTACTTGGGACGTACCAGACAATTGAAAACCTTATTCGGTATTTCAGTTTAATATTCATGTAGTTATTTGCCTTAAGAAAGGTGACTTTTTTGAAAACATTTATATTTTTTTTTCCTTTGTAAATAGATATCAATGTCACTGAGTATGTCATTTTGAACTTATAAAGAAAACTTGGAGTGCACAGTTTTTCATGCGTCAGAATATTTTCAGAACTTGGAAAATAATAAAAAATACTTCAAGAAATCATTTTAAAAGCTGGATTAAACCCGATTAATCAACAAGCATTGCATCAGTGAGTTCTTCAACGATTCTATGCAAAATTTAATGTGTATGAGTGAGTATTGTTGGCGATGGGAAAGTATCAAGCTTAGTTCAAAATCTCTTTTGCCATGTTGCAAGAAGTTCTAGGAGGTAATGAGAATATCTACGTGCAAGGTGATTGCTACCGGCTATCAATCTAATTGAAAAGAATTTTCAACATTTCGAATATTTTTGGGATGCCAAATAACAAATTTTTAGACAGGTTATGTTGTTTTATTTTATCAGACGTTATTAAATGATAGGCCCATTCGGCCCCAAGTTTGTCTATTTCCCATATTCGTCATGATTTTCTTTCAGTTTATCTTTATCGTAGCATGGCTGAAATAGAATCTAGCTTTTTAAAGTCGAACGATCAGTATTCTTATTATTGCTTAAATGAGAGAATAAAATTCTTTTGGATAAGACATTCTTTGTCATTTCTTTTGTTCTCGGTGATATGTGACATTTTGCGAAAATATTAATAACATTGCTTTGATAGTTGAATTGCACCCTGACGTGCCCCATCCTAATTGGTGGTGGCTGAAGTTTGTGATTACTTCTTGAAATTTATGTCTAATTCTATCCAAGGAAAAATACGCTAGTTGATAAAGTTAGAATATCTCACTGAAACTTTTCATAGATTTTTCGAAACGACAAATATTTATAGCCTAATCAAAAGAAATGCCTGATTGCTTTATTATTAGTTTCGCTATTTTTCTTGGTTTTTTTCTTGGGTTATTGCACGCTTGAATCAACATATGGTGTTGCTAAGCCTAGAACTCTTCTTATTTCTGAACATTAAAGTCGTAAAACAAAGATTGCCCTATCAAGCGCATTTCTATTTTGATTAGTATTTATAGGGCAGCCTGGAAGATCTTCGCTTCAAAAAAAAAGTGTTAAAATGCTTAGGCGAATGGCTTTGATAAATGAAACATTTTTTTTTATTTTAGGATAAGTGACATGAGAGGTGGGTCCAAAAGGTGTAAAAGCTATAGGGTGCCGCTATGAAAATTTATCTTTTATCCATACCAAATTCTTTTCGGACCTTGTATATCCAATTAGGATAGCTGAAAAGAACGTAGCTTCCTGTTCCAGCCTTAAAACTGTTAGTCCTTCTCTTTAAAGATTAAAGTTTATTTTCATTTGGCAGCACAGAGATAAAACAAATACTGTTACAGTACTTGAATTATCAACAATTTGAATAGATATGTTACTGTTGAAGAATATCACTAATACATATTGTATCAATATTTACTTTTTCGTGCTCTATGGGGATTCGATTACTAAAAGAGGTAATGATTCTTTTCCAATGAAGAATACTGAAATGATAATGTCAAAAGTTTCGTTTCATAACAAGATGACAAATCTCAATTCTCTCAACGTAACATTGAAGACCGGTACAAAAAAGACTAGACATCTTGATAAGAAGATATAATAGCTACGAAACAGAAATTGGAAGATGATCACTTCCAAAAGTCTTAAATATAGTAGAGTTTATCAATCAGATTGAAATGAATCCAAAATAATGACTTTTTTCTTGGGAACAACTGATGCAGTCTTAATTCAGAGTTATTTTCAAATTTAAGAAAAGTAGAATAACAAAAATTGCTCTTGAGCTGAAAATATCAATTAGAGTATATACCTGTATGATAGTTCTGAATGGTTTTACACACATGGGTTGAACCTAGAAGACTTCACAAATAGCATCTGCCTGAATCTCAATGATGGCATCTTTATCAAACAACGTAGCAACTCCTACACAGACCCACGATGGAAAATGGTTTGGCTGGATTCTCTTCCAAATTTTCATCATTGGTGCCTCATATTTCATATCAACAATGAACGTTGTAAACTTATATACTGAAGCTAACCCAATCTTAGCACCAGCTTTCAATAGAGCTTTTTCAATCGCCATAAATGAAGCTTCTATCTGCTCTTCTGCAGAACTAGTTATTAGCGTTCCACTATCAAGATTAATACCACCGTGTCCTGTTACAGAAATATAATTTGCATTTTTCGGCAACACCACTGCACTACTTAATCCTGCAAGTCTAAATGAATCACAGACTTTGTCTCCTGTAAATATATAGTCCATATTTGACTCAAGACAAATGCTCAAAATTTAACTTCAAAATATGAAATGTTTCTCTTTTCTATGTAAAAGATATTCTTTTTCGTTAAAATATCGAATTTTATTTAGTTTAAGGCAATTGAGTACGAACTAGCTTGCTCGGTAGAGATAGGCAACATTATCACTTTTGAAAAACGAGCAAATATAAAGCGACAAATAAGATTCAGATTGTTGGACTTTCCTAATCTGTACGCTTTGATTTAGTGGCATAAAACTTGCCAATAAGTAGGAACTACAAATAGAGGCTCTTTCCATTCGTAATTGTGATATTTGAAAGGAGTAAAGATTACATTGAGAGAAATGACCTTGGCATTTGACCCAATTTCGGCGCATGAAATCAAGCTTTCCTCAAGCTTGACAAAGAAATCTGTTAGCGATCCTGTTAGATTCCGAACCATTGATGTTTTGGAACCGCTGAAAGACGAAATGATTCCATTTTTGGAAGCCCAGCTAAAGGGATTAAAAACCCCTACGCGGCCTGATAGAAGGATTAAAGTCTATTATTACATTGTCAAGAGACAATCATTTTTTAAGGCAATAGTAAACTTAGATACCAACACTGTTGAATCCACCTTAAAGATACCCAAAGGTATTCAGTTAGGTATTGATATGGATGAAGCAGTTGAAATTGAAGACGCTTGTAATTCACACCCATTGGTTTTGGCTGAACTTGAGAGATTGAACTTACCAAAAAATGCGCGGATCTATAACGATCCATGGAATTATGGAACAGATAATCGTGACGAAACCATGCGTTTGTTTCAATGCTACATGTATATTGGTTTCTCAGACGATCCAGAATGTAATCATTATGCCAATCCTTTACCAATATCTCCAGTGTTCGATTGATTTACGAAGGAATTTTTATGGATTACAAAATTGCCTATGGACGGGAATGAAGTGACTGAAAATACCGAATTGAAAATTGATGGTTTTGAGGAGAATGAATATAGTGAGCGTGCTCTTGGAAAAAAAAATATGAGGAAAGATCTTAAACCTTTGTTGATCGAGCAACCAGAAGGGCCATCTTTCACGGTCATAAGAATGATGTTTTTTGGCAGAAATGGAGATTCACCGTGGGATGGAATGCAAGGGAAGGCGCAGTTCTACATAATGTTGTTTATGATGGTGTTCCATTATTCTATCGTGTTGCCTTAAATGAAATGACTGTGCCATATGCTGATCCTAGACCGCCTTACCATAGAAAACAAGCTTTTGATCTTGGTGATGCCGGCTTTGGAGTTACAGCCAATCCTTTGGGTTTAGGATGTGACTGTTTGGGCTTAATCAAGTACTTCGATGGCGTTTTGACTGATGGAAGTGGATCGCTAATTAAGCTTCCAAATGTAGTATGTATGCATGAAGTTGATAATGGTATCCAGTGGAAACACACAAATTTTAGACATCCAAGGATATCCTCAGTTATTAGAAAACGTGAGTTGATCATACAAACTGTTGCTACTGTTGCAAATTACGAATATATTATTATGTACGTATTTGATCAGGCAGCAAACATAAGAATCGATATTCGTGCAACAGGTATCTTATCAACTGTTCCTTCCAATGATGGCGTAATTCTTCCATATGCAACTAGGTTGGGCAAAGTTGTTCAAGCACCATACCATCAACATGTTTTTTCGCTCAGGGTTGATCCTGCTATTGGAGACTACAAGAAAAATAGTATCGTTTATGAAGACGTTGTTCCCACAGTTCCTGAGGATAATATCAAAGATGATTTTTGCAATAGTTTTGTAGTCAAACAAACTACCGTTACAAAATCTGGCTCGTTCGATTACGACGTTGAAAAAGGTAGGTACTTCAAAATGATCAACCCGAACATTATAAACAAGGTTACTAAAAAGCCAATCGGTTATCGGTCGTAACATATAACTTCCCAAATGCTTTTAATGAAACCCGAATCCTACAACGTTAAAAGAGGATTGTTTGGCCTTAAACCATTTTGGGTTACCAGATACAGAGATCATGAGTTGTATGCTGCTGGTGAATTTACCAATCAGAGTCAAAATGATACTGGGTTAGGAGTTTGGGCCAACAATGATGATAAGGTTAACAACGACGACTGTGTCCTTTGGCATTCGTTTTCTTTGACCCATATTCCACGTCCGGAAGATTTTCCAGTTATGCCTTGCGATATGCTTTCCCTTGAATTAAAGCCATCAGGGTTCTTCGAGAAAAACCCTGCATTGGATGTTCCTAGGTTAGAGCAGTCACATAACAAGTCTATTTTGTTTAAGAATTCATGCTGTAAAATGTGAAATAAGATAAAATATACAATAATATAACAAATTCTTGTTTTTTTTTTTCCCGCAAATATCTATTACAATACGTGTGTTTTCAAGATTAATATTAGCATTGTAAGTATTATCAAAGGAACTGAGTGAAATACATTTGTGTAAAATAAAATCTTGTTATAGGGTTATCTCATAATTTTATTCTATCCAGCAAATTGCAGTTAACAGAAAACTGAACTGTTTATTTTAATAAGAAAAAATAAAAACAAACTATATTACAATTATCTTGTAATCTTGTGATGACGAAAGCTAATTAAATGATCTCACTACACGTAACACAATCCGCCATTAGCATTCAATACAGAACCTGATGACCAGCGAGCCTCTTCACTACATAAAAATGTTACCTCCGCTAACACTTTTGGGGGTGAGTGGACTGTGGCTAGGTGTCCGGTGGCTAGGTGGCTTGGTGGCAAGGACGGTGTCAAGAGAGGTGTCAAGAGATTTTTTAGTATGCAGAACTTTGGTAATATACAGTATTCATTGATTGACCAATAATATGGCCCGATCTTATCACCACGTGATTCGCTTCTCCTAACATTCTTGGTGTCTTGGGGAACAGTGTTACCTCCGCTAACACTTTTGGGGGTCAAGGATGGTGTC